GTGAAATCTAGCACATGCGGTCGGATAGAGAGGGCGCGCAGCTGTCATGGACGCAGAGGCTGGATTTTACCGGAATGCTCACAGGGGCTCGACACTCCTCGGGCGCCTAAAGTCCCCAAGGAATTGTTCGTTCCACTTATCCTCGGGGTTGCAGTCTGAAAAAAAAAAAGTGAAAACACTCCGAAGGAAATTCCTCAGGCTCCGAGGATTCCCAGCCATTTCTCCCTTTTGCCCAAGGGACCTCGCGAGGTCCTTTGGGCAAAAGGAATCCGCGTTTCACGGAGAGGAGCGGGCACACGCGTAGAGAGACGTTACAACCGAGAATCTGGATTGTGGCGGCACCGTATTGGCTGAAGGCCTTAAGCACATTTTTTTTTTTTTTTTCCTTTTTTTTTTTCTGACATTGCTCCAAGGAAACGTCCTCGGGCGACGTCCCCGAGGACAGGTGGAACGAAGGGCCCAAATTTCCTTTCGACTTAAAGGAATTTTTTCTCGGGCTCCGAGGACGCCCCAAGGAGTGTCGAAAGAGGCCCACAGTGCGCGGGTAAACCTTGCCCGTCCTTTCACCTCCAAGATCAGATCCGATGTGACGCGGGTTGATCGATGGGAATATCTCAGAATGCCCATTGTCGGATAGCGGGGAGGAAAAAGACAAAACAGATGGAGTCAAGGGCGTACCGCATTTTAAGAACACCGTTCCCTCTAAAGCTAAAAATTCTGACCTGTCCTTCGGGACATCCGTTAAAATTGGAACGATACAGAGAAGATTAGCATGGCCCCTGCGCAAGGATGACATGCATTTTTAACAAGAAAAAAAAAAATTAATAATAATAATAATAAAAAAAATTCTGATCTCAATCAGGTCAATTTGGTGGGTTTCAATTTAGTTGAAAAAATAAAAAATGTTCGTTTTGACGAATGGTTGTTAATCAATCAGTCAATCAAGCAATCAATCAATCAATCAATCAGTGAAATCAATCAATCAGTGAAATCAATCAATCAGTGAAATCAATCAATCAGTGAAATCAATCAATATTTTGCTTCCTCTTTTTCCTTCACCCAAGAAAAAATCGAATTGAAAAATAAATAAAAATTGGGGGGAGGCCTGCCACCCCCACTATCCCCGCAAGGGGCCAACCCCCTCCATCACCCCCCCAGCAGCCCCTGGGAGCTTGATGCGGGGGGCGGCAGTACGGCCCGTATGACTTCACCGAGCTTAAAAAATGCGCATGAACGCAGAGTTCTGCAATCCATAAACATTCATGTATATTTTCTATGGACGTGAAAGTATTTTTAGGTAGGGTTTTGTGTGTGGTGACGCAACACATGTATTCAAATCCGACAGCCCCCCGCCCGCGCAACTTGAAAAGAAAAAAGTCCATTTAATTCTGTGTGAGTACTTTAGTTACCATTTTGGTAGGTTTTTTTGCGGGGCGTAGGCTGCACTGCCTGCACCGCAGGCGCTAAGCTAGTCATGATTGAGCTCCCTTGTTGATCTCACCCACTCTCTCTCTCTCTCTCTCTCTCTCTCTCTCTCTCTCCGCCTCTGAAATATTTTTGCTGTCAAACACTACCCAGACCTCTCAAGCTGCAACGAGAGATGTATGTGAAGTAGATGCGACAGAAAACTGACTCGTAGTCACACAGCCGCGCTAACACGGCGTACCATGTGTGGAAACCCCCTTCTCAATAGAGAACTCCCGTAAGAAAGGAGTGAAATCAGAGTTCGCCACAGCAGTAGCTGTGGCATCCGCCTCAGTCCATCGAACCTTGGCAGCTGGCATCCCCTACTAGTTTCGGTTGCTGCCAGCGGCAACCTCATCAGGGGGTATTCGAGATGATGTGAAACCATGCGGTCCTAGGTCTATATGTACTAGACAAAAATCCGTTTCCTCTTCCTCTCCAATGTTACCGAGTGCCGCGACTTTCCCGCCCACCTTTGGCTCGTCAGCTCTCGCGCCATTTCCTGCGGGCCGCTTATCCAACCAGACCCCTCATGATTCATCAGAGCTGTGTATCCTACCCTGGCGCGTGGCCCTGTGCCGCTTCCTTGTATCGTACTCCCAGTTGATGTTCATTCGTGTTCGCGCCTTCCCCCTAGGCTGCTTGTCCAACAGACCCCCCCATTTCCTTATTACGATTCCTCCGACCGCTATTTCAGTCTTTATCCATGCCTCGTGTTACCATTCCTCTGGAAAACGTTTCAACAAATATTCCAGATACCAGGATTCATACGTCAGGTGCTTCCCAAATGCCACACTGTGACAATAAGTCCAGAAGTACCGTTGTCAGTCAATCTTGCGTAATCCCTGGCGCGCTTCTTTGCTCGAAGAGAGCCGGCTACTTCCCTCACAGTTGCGTCTGTTATCGAAGCTTGTGGCCTGGTGCTACTCCTCAGCCAACCCCATCTAAAGCCGACCACCATTCATGTGAAGGTGCTACTTCCTCGTGTCGTGCTGCCAACAAATAAATAAATAAATAAATAAATAAGTAAATAAACAAATAAATACATAAGTAAGTAAGCCCCTCTTATCCCGTTTCCCTGCCTCCCTAGCCTAAAACCCATGTTACCAGCTACATAAACGCCCTTCCCATCTCTCCCAAGTAGGGGCATGCTTCCTGACGAAACCTCTCAGGCTTCCATTAAACATTTCAGCTGTGTAATTCTGCATACGCAGTTGCCTTTTCACTGTAAGTAGTGGTAACCCCGCCAGGTCGTCCGTAGAGCTCATCCTCTTGATGTGGTGCAATGTGCTTGTGATTACGGCTTTCTTCTGCCGTATCAGTGAGAACGAATCAAAATCCTGAAACATGCGGTAGGTCAGCATTCTATCACTCCGTAGTACTTGTTTGGAGTTCTTGGGAAAGCACTGGCAGGTTACTTCGCTCACCTTAATCTCCACCTTTGTCCCAAGGAAATTCCAAGATCCGGTACCTTCTTCAGTTCTTTTCAGCATTAGTTTCCTGTCATAGGCTCTTCCGAATTTGTTGAGAATATCCTGTCGCCGGCGGTCTCCATTTCTCCTTGGGCACCAGATGAAAATCGACACGTCGTCAATCAATCGCATGCCTTTGACCAATCCTAGATCAGCCCCAAGACTCGTCAGAAAATTGTATTTGTCCATGGTGCACAAAATGCATGCCAGTGGGGGGCTACTGCTTTTTCCCATTGGAATGCCTACCCGTTGCCTGATGAGCCTGTCGAAGGCCATCAGGTACGTATGATCCAACTCAAAATCCACCATTGACGCAATCTTTCCGAATTGAACTTTAACCCACCACTTGTTAATATCTGTTTTGTCTCCAAAAGCCGAACCTTTCCCCCTCCTTCTGATATTCACCCTCACTTTCCCCTTTTCCCTGTACCAGTCCAAAATCCATTCGACAGCCTTCCGACTAGACGCATGGGGGAGCTGGCTGAACATTTCCTTAACTCGTAAGCCGCCCCACCTAACTCGCCTTTTCCCTTTGCTTTTACCCACCTGTTCACCTCTATTAGCCTTTCCTTCAGCAGGTTAGTGGACTTCAGGTTGAAATGTAAAGACTTCGGAAGTAGGAAAAGTAGGTGGTCCAACGCCCTGACGGTTCGACCTCCTGCTGTCCTAGACAGTTCGGAAAAAGCAGGGCTAATTGGTCTACACCGGCTGGTATCCTTCTGTTTTGGTATGATATAAGCACATCCGCATCTCCCTTTTCTATCCCAGTTTCCCAATTCCCTCAGTCCTAGCTACTTGAACTGCCATTTCGTCAAAATGGACATCTTTTATTTTTTGAACGAAATGGAAACCGAGTTTTTTGGCCCAAACCTCGTCAAAAGTTGCTGTTCCTGAGGGTCCAGCGTTTTACAAATGCTGGACCCCCTGGCTGTACATGGACCTCGCTTGAGACCAGGCACCTCCAGGCAGTCCTTCCCGGAGGTGCCTGGTCTCAAGCTAGGTCCATGTACAGCCAGGGGGTCCAGCGTTTGTATAACGCTGGACTCTCAGGAACAACAAATTTTGACGAGTTGTCGGCCAAAAAACTCAGTTTCAATTTCGTTCAAAAAATAAAAAATGCCCATTTTGACGAAATGGTCGTTCTTGCAAGTTTTTTCCGCTTTAGCCAGGACTTCCGCCTCTGTTTCCCAGATTGCTAAAAAACCAGAGTTTCCCCAGAACGTGTTCCTCATTCCCTCAGCGTATGTATACAGGCACATGATAACGGATTCTGCACTATTTCTGTCTATCGTCGAGCAGACAAACCCTGAAATTAAGGCCCGACACTCATCAACCACCTTGATTAGATCCGTTAGGCCGGGTGAGAACCCCACGACACATTCCTCAACCTCCTTCAAAGTCACAACGGACCGCATATTACCCATTTTTGCTAAACTATCATTGATATCCCTCATGATTGATCTCCCCTTCGATCTTTCCGCCATCGGGACTATATTGCATGCGTTTTTTGTGAAACTATGAACTGTCTCTAGGTCACATTAACCGACACAACACATGACCTTCCACTTTCGGGAGGGCACTGTCTGCGCAATTGCAGACCGCCACCATCTGCTGTGCAGCAGCCCGGTGGTTGTGAAGCACATCCCCCACAGTGGGATTCTTCTTCCACACTGTTAGGAGTCTTCGACATGTGTATGCAGCCAATGACTCAGGCAATTCCCTCCTGAGTATTCCTTCAACCAGAGCCCGAACTGAGCGCATTGATACCCCCTTATTATACTTGATGGTCACACTAAAAGTCTTCCTTAAATTGAAATGGAACTTCTGCGATATAATTCCAGCCAAGGCATCTTTCAGGGACAATCGTGCGGCTGATTGGGAAAAACATCCAATTGCGGAGTACAAGCTCATCAATTTGTCAATTCCGTACCCATACAGCTTCGTTTTGTACCAGGGATTTCAGATTAGTTTATGTAACTCCCATTTATTCTCAGTCTTCTCTTTTGACCATACTTGCAACCGCACGAGCCGCACATTCGTGCGGAGTTCTGTATGGAGTTCCGTGCGAGGGGTGTCTGTGCGGAATCGTGCATGTTTTTTATTTTTATCCTTATGATTCTATTTTTTTTTGGGAGGGGGAACGGGGGAGCGTATGACAGGAAGATGGGGATATGGCAAGGAGAGGGGGATATGGAGAGGAGGAGGAGGATGTGGACGAGGAGGACGACGGGGATAGCGAGGACGACGAGGAGTAGTCAAGATGGGGGAGGAGAAGAGATGGACGGAGGGAAAAGAGGACGGGCAGGAGGAGGACGAGTGGGAGGAGAAGACATGGACGGCGAGGAAGGGGAGGACACGAGGAAGGGAAGGAGACGAGGAGGCATGGAAGATGATGAAGTACGTGGAGGAGGAGGAGACAAGGAGGATGAGGAAGGGCAGGAGGAGGAGGACGAACAGGAGGAGGAGGAGGAGGAGGAGGAGGAGGAGGAGGAGGAGGAGGAGACGAAAAGGAGAAGGGAGCAGGAGGAGGAGGAGGAGGAGGAGGAGGAGGAGGAGGAGGAGGAGGAAGGGGAGGAGGAGCAAGGTGAGGCAGTACTCCTGTAAATTTTTCTTGAGACAACTTCGCGGGTGACCGCTGCACAGTTTCGAATTCGCAGGAATAACAGTCCACTCCAAGCTTGGGCGAAGAAGACAAGTTCGAAACTCCAAGCTTGGGCGAAGACAAGTTCGCAGGAATATATTTTTTTTGAGACAACTCCGCGGGTGACCGCTGCATTTTTTTTATTTTTTTTTTAAATCTCGGCCGTGGCCGAGGCATCGCGGCCGTGGCCCAACCACGCGATGGGATGCTCTCTTTCTTCTTTTTTTTTTTCCTTTTTTTTACCTCGGATGTGGCCGAGGCATCGCGGCAGTGGCCAGCCACGCGACAGTGCTTGAAAAAAAAAAAAAAACGAGAGTGAATCTCCCACTAGAACATGGAAAGATGCACCGCGAAATTGCATTATTATTATTATTATTTTTAAATCTCGGCCGTGGCCGAGGCATCGGGGCCGTGGCCCAGCCACGCGACGGGATGTTCTCTCTTTCTTTTTTTTTTTTTCCTTTTTTTTACCTCGGATGTGGCCGAGGCATCGCGGGAATGGCCAGCCACGCGACAGTGCTTGAAAAAAAAAAAAAAAACGAGAGTGAATCTTCCACTAGAACATGGAAAGATGCACCGCCATGAGGCCCCGAGGATGATACGCATAGGTTGTTGTCAGCCCGTGTATCTCGTTGGGCCCCTGTATCCCCTTTGCACAAAAGAAAAAAATCATGGCGCTGTATCTTTCCATGTTCTAGGGAAGATTCACTCCCTGTATCTCTTTGGGCGCCTCTGCGTTTCTGGTAGGCCGTCGAACGCATTTTTCCTTGCAGTTTCGAACTTGTCTTCGCCCAAGCTTGGAGTTTCGAACCTGTCTTCGCCCAAGCTTGGAGTTTCGAACTTGTCTTCGCCCAAGCTTGGAGTGGACTGTTATTCCTGCGAATTCGAAACTGTGCAGCGGTCACCCGCGGAGTTATTTCATTTTTTTTTCATCTCGCTTATAATTTTGGCGGGGGGCCTCAAACGCACCATTTCCACCCCGGCCTTTTTTTCTTTTTATGAGGGGGGTGACGGGTCGTTCTCCGCACACGTCGTGCGCCGCACATAGGGAACCGCCCGCACGACGTGCGCTTGCATGTATGCTTTTGACAGTTTCCTCCTTCCCATCGCCTCAACCCTGAACTCTCTTCCTTTCTCAAAATTCAATTTCATCTCACAAAGCATAGCTGTCTTGGCACCTGACTTGATGATCGTACGCCCAAACTCCTTAACTATAACACTCCAACTTCGAGCCCAGAGTTTACCTCCTTCGGTTCTAAACTGCTTAGTACTCCCCCTTACCGCTACAGTGCATCCTTCGGCCAAATTCACACTTCGCAGCCCTTTGGTTTTGAAAACAATAGGTAGCTCCGTGCTGGTTGAGTAGAACTGACATTTCGTTAAAATTGACATTTTTTTTCTAAATTCACGGAATTGAGCGTACCAAAAAACAACATTTTTTAGTTAACGTCGGATGATCAGATCATCGGGTGTCGTGGCAACTCCCCATGACGTCGGATGATCAGATCATCGGGTGTCGTGGCAACTCCCGATGATCTGATCATCAGATGTATGTTAACGGTACTTTACGTTGAGGTACATCAGATGGACAAAGTGAGATAACCACTTTCTCACCCAAGGAGCAATGAAATTTTGACTAAGTCCACTTTCGTTAGAAAAAAATGTCATGTCAGTTTTAATGAAATGTCAGTTGTAGCTCCTACGCCTCCTTCGCTCCTTCCTCCCTTTCATATCTTTCCCCTTCTTCCTCCTCCCCATGCCCTTTGAGTTCACCTCTGGTGACCACTTCCTTGTATAGGCTCTTTCCACTCTCTCCGAGTCTCTCGAGGTCCCGGGTTGGTACGAAAGCGATCGGGACAGCAATGTACCCTATTGCATCCGTGTGGCGGAGCCAGTTGTAGAGTTTTGAGTTACGATTCCCCTCTCTGTGGTCATTTCTATACATGTGCTCTTCCCACCTTTTTATCAGGCTGCGCCCCGTCTGACCTGCGTAGATCGCCCTTACCTCCGGGATAATTAGCACGTACTAGACACATTCACTCGGGCTTTCCCATCGGTCCATTTCATTATCAATCATTTCCAACCAATTCCCTGCAAATTTCATTCCCCACTGAATTTCCCCATTTAGTACAAGCAGAACTTAAACAATTAAATACCTAAGTATGTGTTGCAGGGTGCATCTAAAGATGTATGTTTGCGACGGAACTCTGACCCGGCCACAATTTTTGCTGTGAAATTTGCTGTGAAACTATAGAGGACCCTCTATTTTTGATACTTACCCCTAGAAGGGTACTAGGTGCAGCTGCAGGGGAGGCCCCGAAAGTCAGTTATGCTACTCCCACGACATCCAATGCATCCAGGAGAATTCTCTCACAGATGTACAGCATGCACCAAGGAATCCACCAAGAAGAAGTGCACCCTCTTTTTTTTTTATTTTTTATTTTACTCAAACTGTCCCTGCAGTGCTAGGTCTGCTGGTAAGAGCAGACACCTCTACCACCTGGGGATAGGCTCCATCTATTGGTGGGGAGCATCACCTGCTGGAAAACGGGTCCAGCGTCCCCCTTGTACAGAATGATTCAGAAAACAAGCAGAAAAATCAGAAGAAAAATCAGAAGAAAAATCAATAATAATAATGCAGAAGAATAAACTGAAGAACATTTGCCTCAACCTTACATCCAAATTCTTTACCAAATTTGAAATAAAAAGCAAATACGAAAAATAAATAATAATAATGAAAATTAGAAAGAATAAAACGAGACTGAAATTATTGAGTGGGTGAGCACGTTGTTGACATCGCCATCTTTGGCGATTTTTCATTTTGTTTTGGCTGTGAGAAATGCCATGAAAATTCATATATGTGTATCTTACATACTAAAGAATCTACAAATAAAGTTTGAAAAAAATATATATTTTTTTCATGCCCCGAAATAAAGGAAAAATAAAAAGTGAAAAGAGAGAAAAAACAAATTGGTCAGTGGGCAAGCAAGTTTTGACACCACCATCTTTGCCGATTTTTCTTTTTTTTTTTGGCTGAACATAATGGCTTCAAAATTAACAGGGAGATACCTTACATCACAAAGAACTCACAAAAAAACATTCAGAAAAAAAAAAAAAATATTTAGGTGCCAAAATAATGTTTTGCGGGGTCTGAACCCCTTCAGGTTCGGCCCCCGTACGGGGACCCGAACGCCCGAACGTTCGGGGCTCAGCTTAAGGGCCTCCGTACGTTCGGCCTGGCCACCGTAATAATAATAATAAGAATAGTTACTCCTTCGCGCATTCAGACCACCAGTCGCGGCACGCATGCCGGCAGCCATTGGTACAGTGCTGCCACGTTTCCAGTTGCATGAATTTATGCTACAGTGCTGTTTCTACGTCTATTTGAGTGAAGAAGGTACGAGCGGTTGGACTCGTGTTTCTTTTTCTTTTTTTTTTGTTTTTTTTTTGGTTGAAAACCTGCCCAGTGTACTACGCAGGGTGGTAAGAGCATGCTCCCCTAGTACCTCGCGGCCTGATGCTACAGTCTATTGGTGGGGAGCCTCACATGCTGGAAACCGGGTCTGGTGTCCCCGTTGGACTCGAGGTTCTAGAATCATAGAAGACGGAGTAAGGTAGAGGGTGCCTGCTGTGCTACACCTTAGGTTGAACGACTGGAAAGAAGAGTTTGAAGACTTTGATGGAAAGAGAGAGAGAGAGAGAGAGAGAGAGAGAGAGAGAGAGAGAGAGAGAGAGAGAGAGAGAGAGAGAGAGAGAGAGAGAGAGAGAGAGAG